CCCGGCCCATTTGGTTGCAAAGCCCGAACTGCGAGAGATCTAGTTGCGTCTGGCTGTTTGGGGGCATTTGGTGAAGTGAGGCCTGGGCGAATAATCTTAAAGAGTGCCGTTTCTAATGAGAAAAGCAAGTCCCCCTCCCCCCAACCCGTTTCAATATTGTGAAGTGGGAGGTATATTGTTGGCACTGATTCCAGCCAGCAACTGGAAATGTGGAAATATTATTACAAGGGAACTTGTCATAGACAGCATCTTATTTTTCTCCTTCAGAAATGGTATCTGGGGCAAAGCTACCCACTACCATCGTAATTAAGCCAGATCTATTTTGTCCTTGCCCCCTTCTGTGTCCATTATATACATGTTATCTCTGATATTCCATGCTATCCACTCTTTCATCCCAACCTACCTCACAGGGTTGTTTTGGGAAACAAAAGGAGGGAGCATTGTGTATGCTGCCTCAAACTCCTGAATGAAACACAGGATACACCTGTGGAGTCCTTGGGGTTCTCTGAGCTTGGTTCTTTTCTTGATTGTTGAATTACAGTATAACAAGACTTAGCAGAAAGATATTTGCATGCCTTAAGTAAGGAATTAAACAAATATCCACATTCTCTGACTATGCTTTGTTCATGCTCAGAGGAAAAGTCTTTAACCAAAGCAGTTTCATTACTTGGCTAGGTAACATCTTCAGTGCTAAAATGGGATACACCTCTAAGAAATAAACACAAAGACTGGGTTCTGTTGAAGGCTAGGCAACATGGGCTTAATCTGGGTTTATCCTCACCTCCATCTAACTGCAGCACAGAGATTATTGGCTCTCCCTAAATAGCACCCCAGTTCAGCTTAGGATTTGACTGTGGCCAAGCCAAGAATAAAATGATGCTAAAAAGGAACAAACTTGACTTTCTACCCTAAGGCTGTTTAAATATCCTCACAACTTCCTCATTTGCATAGCTGATTGTTGAATTACAGTATAACAAGACTTAGCAGAAGGATATTTGCATGCCTTAAGTAAGGAATTAAACAAATATCCACATTCTCTGACTATGCTTTGTTCATGCTCAGAGGAAAAGTCTTTAACCAAAGCAGATGCTGCTAAACTCATTATTTCTTATGTATATCCCTACATCTTCCATCATATGACTTTCAAATGTATGTTTTTTTCACTGTGCTTTTGTAATTTTAGATTCATTTTTTAACCGCTTTCTAAAGTTGGTCTTTAGTCATCCTTCCAATATTCCTCTAATATTCCCAGTCTGGTGCATGTTAGTTTACTTTCTATCTGCCCTGAATTATCTTCCTTCTCATCCTTTCCTACAGCAAGAGAAATTTAAAGAATTAGGAATGGAGACAGTGATAGAGTCCATAATATTTTAGCCAAGCTAATGAGATCTTGCTGAAAGCTACTTCTTGGCTACAGCATTAGCTTTCTCTGTTGTAGTTCACCATTGTGGTCATATTTGGTCACAGAAGTGATTATAGGAGGAGGTGGGAGACCTTTGGTCTGCTGGATCAACAACAGAGGGAATTGCTAGAAAGCTTCCAGAGCAATTTAAAAGAGAAGCTCCATTCTAGCTTTGGCCAGGATTCCCAGCCTCTGCGCCCCGCCCCCCTTTCCTGCAAGTACTTCCTACCCTTTGAGTGACACTTGTCAATTTGAAGATGATGTTTAAAGGGCAAGAACCATACTAGTTACTAAGCAAGATCCCTAACCAGCTAGCTAGTTACAATTTTCTGATGGCAAACATAAGGAAAACAGACTAGCGACATTAGATGATTGATAATGCCAGGGTTCAATTTGTCATCTCCAGCTGCTGTTGATCAAACAGTACCATTTGTTTGGGGTCATCATTAACAATCTCCTGCCTCTCACCAATCATCATGTTAAAGAATCTCCACCCCTTTCCTCTCTCCTTCAGCCCAGGAAAAAGAAGGGAGAAAAAGACATTGTCTTCTTTCTGCCCGGCATTTCATGTTAATTTCCCAAACCCTAAGTGAGATGTTGGTTTTGATTTATTTTAATTTGCTAAATTGCCCAAGAAAAGTATAAAAATGGTCCTCAAACACTCAGAATGGAAGAGGAATTCTTGTTTAGTTGAACAACTATTTTTCTTAGGTTTCCCCCCACCCCTTTTTTATCTGAAAGAAGCTAAGATATCTTCCATCACAAGCCAGCAAATGTATTTCAGTACTGCAAAAGAAAGGTACTGTAATTCTTTCTCTCTCTCTTTTTCTGTCTCTTAAACCAGAAATCCTTTCCCACTTTACTTACCAAGAAAGCAACTTTTTCTTCTTTTCCAAGTTAAGCTGTGCCACACAACCCCACAACAGCTCAAAAGCATGGGTGCGAGAATGTTAAATCTCTTACCTTCTTTGAGTAACAAGAAATTTTAAACCTTTTCTCCTTATGTGTTGCAGCAAAAAGCTTTAATATTATATATATTTTTTATTTACTGCTTTCTGCAGCTATAGCTGAACTCTGTGTATGCTTCATTAAAGTGAACCAGCTTTCTTTGAACTCAGCCTTTGTTTTTCTCAATGAATTGCATTAAATTTTCTATAGATTATTTAGTGCTTTTTACCTGATCGCTTCCCTCAGATATTCTTTGTGCTAAATTCAGTGTAAGTTGTCAGCTGCTTATTGATTGCCTTGTATATAATTAGTCTTAAATATTATTTAATAAAGTATATTGATTCATTATTAATTATTAAGTATCATTTCATGTTTGGACTGCTGGAATGCATAAACCTTTG